CATTCACCAGTAGACAGTGACTACAAAATGCTTAAGGTAAAATATGTAAATATGTAAAATAATCTCTTGAAAAGCATCTTCTTTTGTGCTTGAAAGCATTTTGTGAAAGCATCTTTATTTCTCAGTAGCCTTAATAGAGAGAAAGAAAAGTTATTTTCTGGCAAAATAAAAACAAAATTAAAAATATTTTTTAAAAGAATTATTTTGAAATAAATCTTCACTGAGATAAAGGAGAAGAAAAATATTTTACAACTTCTTTATACTTCTGCTGGCCTTTTAGAATTAATCTGAATAATAAAGTAACATGTAAATTACAGTTTCAAAAATTTAAATAGGATTATTTTAACTCTTATAGACCTAAAGCAAACCTAATCTGCCAAGTCTCCACTCTCATTTTATTTTAAAACTGTGCATTTTTTTTCAATTGTTATGACTTTCAACTCAGAATGGGTTTTTATCTTATGGCATGGCAGATCCAACCTAATTTCCTCTTTAATATGACCAAAGTCTACACAAATATATGTTCAGATTTAGTTTATTATTTGGCTAAGCACTGCTAATCTTGTTCAAAAATACTCTTTCATTAAAATTTTGTCCCTTAAAAATCTATTAATACAGAAATAAAAGTATATGAAAACATAGTTTTTATTCTTTAGACTAGATTATCTTGATATGTCTCCATATTGTAACTGTCTCATTATCATAACTGAATGACAGAGAAATAATTCACAGAAAATCTGTTTCATTCCAATTGAAGTGTCAATCCATAAAAATAAATTCCTTGTGTCAAAAACAAAGTAGCCTGGAACTTATTATTATTTTTATTTTTAAGGAAAAGGCAGGAAGCAGGGGTAGAGAGAAGAAAGGCAAAAAGATAGGTGGTGGCCAGTAACCAGAATACATCAAAGGACTGATCTCTCTGGGATAGGAATACAGTGACATACTACTAGTATGGTAAATTTCAGACTGCATCAGAGTGCAACAAATTAATGCTTGACTAAATATATTTATTTTCCCTTTAATAAGTAAGTGTAAGTGTTAGTTTTTTATGATGATATTGCAGGTCATACAAATAGTACCTAAGAATTTCATTGGGGATGAGAGGGTTAAACAAAGACAGTAAGAATTTTAAACATATTTGTACAGTGCCTAACACAAAGATACTCATTCTTGGTTCATTAGGTACTACCATCATAAACATTAATAATAAAATAAACAATAAATTTTTTTATGTACCTACCAGGTGCTTTCATCTCTATATATTAAGGTGGGAAGCAGTGATAACAAATCACTACCATATATGAGGAATCAAGTCTACTCAACCCTCCAAAAGTCTTACTACAAGATATCATCATTAGAAGGACAACGATGATCATCATGTAACTGATAAACAATGATCAAGGATCTCCTCCAAAATCATCCCCATGAAGATGCTATATGACATCCGGTCAGATGCTATATGACATTCGGAGTGCTGGATGGCATCCAGTGAATGATGAAAAGGAACCAACAGGACATTAAATTGTGATATTCTCCACTTTCATCCATTCAAAACTTTAAAGGCTGTCGACCACACTTCATTACAACCAAACTTTGGAAGAAGATACCACTAAACTTGATATAATTAATTTTTCACCTGATCTCCTGCAGATTCATCACACCTCTTACTGAAATCAATTCAGAAAGAATGAGACTCTTAAAGGGTTCTTTGTTCTGTGCAAATTATGAATCTTCAGTGTGTGAGTTGATTAAAACTTCACATGAATGGGTTATCCCTCTTCTGGTTCACACAATTATGGCTAGTGGGTTAAAAATATCATTTGCTGACCTTGTTTTGGGATACAGGCGGGTGTATAAATTTCACAGTCATCCATGTAATTGTCTGCCCACTTTAATCTCTGCCAATGATAAAGAAAGATTTTGGGTCTCTGAAATAGGTGGAGAGCAGTATTCTTATGAAACTGCCAGCATATAAGAAAAGAACACACACAGTAGGTAAAGAAAAGGGATTTGTAGGCACTTGCATTATTGGTTTAAAACATGGCTTGCATATTTAATAAGAACGGTGACTTAATACTTCACTGTGTATGTTCCTTAAACTCCCCTTTGATAGATTGTTATAAGTCACTCTGAATTTAGGCATACAGGCATCAGTTTTGTCTCTACTGACAGATGTAAAATGCTGTCAGAAAATACAGTAGTGACTCCGCTGTTTTGTGTCCACACTGCTGGCTGTAGTGTGGCCACACTTCCAGCACTAGAGAGGTGAACTCTAAACAGCTATCCCACAGAGAACCCGCCTACCCCTTAATGCCATGGCTCACAAAGTCATATACTGGGAGCCTTGGCAGCAAGGAACAGTTCAACAACAGGCTGAGCAAGTATAAAATGACTGGATGTGCTTTTGGCCATTTAAAAGCATGCTAGCGATGTTTGTACAGGAAGCTGGACCTGGTACCGTCCATATGCTTATAACCACATGCTGTACCCTACATAACATTTTTCAAGGGAAGAGTGAAAGCTTCTTCACTCAGAGCTGGACCACTCAGGCTTAGCTCCTGGAAACTGAGTTTGAGCAGCCTGAGACCAGAGCTATTAAAGAAACACAGCGTGGGGCTATAAGCATCAGAGATGCCTTGTAGCAGCAATTTGTTGCTGAAAGTCAGTAATATTTGTTGCCATGCATGGGAGTACAGCGGCTGCAGTGCTAGTGGGGACAGTGATTGGTCCATACTTTGTACAAAACTGCCGGTTGTTTTGCTGGTGTGTGCTTGCTTGCTTTCATATAATAGAATAAAGATTGTTTTCAAGCACAATAATTAATTTATTAAAAACAACAAACATAGAACACACACGCTGCATAACACATCTGCACTTTGTGGGAGGGAGTGAAGGAAGGAAGGGGGTGAGGCCCAGGCATGTTTACAGATTTGTGCATGTCCAAGTATCATATGTAAGCATTGTTCACATACCTATCACTGACTATCCCAGGGCGAAAACACATAAGGCACAAAACCCATGAAATGGTGAGTTAGCCAATGGGTAGGGGAATTCATTGATTCAAGGCCTTACTGTAGTTTAGGCATGTGTGCCGTGGGGAAAGCCAACACTGTAGGGGGGCCTATGATCAGTAATGTCCACACATTTTCCACAGACTGTGTTCTTCCTGGAAGATATTTCACTGCTGAGGGTGAGAAGGGAAACAAGGAAGGGTCTTCTGTGAGTTTGCGGCTTTTGTCCTGGTCTCTACACAGCTTTCCTGTTTACAGCAAAGGTCTCCTCCTTCCTTATTGCACAGTGGCATGGGAATATTATCCTTAGCAGGACAACGAACACAGCAGCTCTGCCAAGGAAACTATGGAGGCGGATTGCCCAGCATCTGCATGACTCTTTCAATTAGATCTGTGAAGTTGATTACTGTGAAGCAAGAGAATACAGGCAGTCCCCGGGTTACGTACAAGATAGGGACTGTAGGTTTGTTCTTAAGTTGAATCTGTATGTAAGTCGGAACTGGCGTCCAGATTCAGCCGCTGCTGAAACTGACCACCAGTTCTGACTTACATACAGAATCAACTTAAGAACCCCAGGCGTCCCCAAGTCAGCTGCTGCTGA